GGAGGAGGAGGAGGAGGAGGAGGAGGAGGAGGAGGATGAGGAGGAGGAGGATGAGGAGGAAGAGGATGAGGTGGTGGTGGATGGCGAGGAGGAGGAGGAGGCGGAGGAGGAGGAGAAGGAGAAGACGGGAAGAGAGACGTGAGGAGGATCAGAAGGAGGAGGACCTCCCCTCCCCTCCGAGTCCACGGGGAGCTCGAACGCGCGGGCCTACACCATGGGGGTCGGCACGTGGCGCTGGATGGCTCCTGAGGCTGGCCCTCGGAGACGAGTAGAGGGAGTGATGATGCTGCTGCTGCTGATGATGATGCGTCTGCTGATGCTGATGATGATGATGGCGGTGGTGGTGGTGGTGGTGGTGGTGGTGTTGAGGATGATGCTGATTTTGATGACGATGCTGTTGATTATGATCATGATGATGTTGATGATGATTGTGATGATGATGATGATGATGATGATGATGATGATGATGATGATGATGATGATGATGATGATGGTGATGGTGATGGTGATGGTGATGGTGATGATGATGATGATGATGATGATGATGATGATGATGATGATGATGATGATGATGATGATGGTGGCGCTGCTGCCGCTGCTGATGATGATGCTGATGATGCTGATGATGATGCTGACGATGATGCTGCTGCTGCTGATGATGATGATGATGATGATGATGATGCTGATGGTGACGGTGGTGAGGAGGAGGAGGAGAAAAAATGAGGAGGAGAGAGGAAGAGGGGTTGAAGAAGGAGTGGGTTGGATACTCAAATGTCGGTCCGTTTATGTTCCCTGGGGCTCTCTTGTCCTTGTCGTCACGGCCAGGTCCGCCTCGGTATCCTGGTCGCTCCGGTGGGTGCGTTGCGCTGTTTGAGGCAGGGGGGGGAGGAAGAGGAGGAGGAGGAGGAAGAGGAGGAGGAGAATGTAGGGAGGAGGATGCGCTCGGAGGTCGTGGCATCTCTTGCCCAAGAGGTTTCAGTCTTATGTTGCCGAGAAGTTGCTGCAGGTTTCTCTACGTAGGGTTCTTTTCCGTTAGCCCTCATCGTTTTTCCTGCCTTCGTCGTTAGCCCTTATCCCTTTTCCTGCCGTCGTCGTCCCTGCTTTCTTGCTAGCCCTTATCCTTCCTGCTTTCTCGTTGGCCTTTATCGTTCCTGCTTTCTCGTTGGCCCTTATCGTTTCTGCTTCCTGCTTCCTTCCTGCCTCCTTGCCCTTCCTGCTTGCTCGTCAGCCCTTAATCCTTTTTCCCGCCTTCGTCGTCCTGCCGCCGTCGGCCCTGTGAGCTTGCGGGCGCGGAGCGAAGCCGCCGCGCTTCCCGCGCGTGCTGCCTTGGCCGCCCGAGCTGCCGTGACCTTTCGGGCCAGACGAAAGGGGGTGATAGGGAAAGGGGGGGTTACGAAATCTGCTGCATGCAGCTGGTTTCGGCCCCACCGTGGGGCCCATTCCTCGATACATGGCCGCCTCTGGCGCCGGGAGGCGCTGGGAAGATCAGCTACGTGAGCTGATTCTCACCCCCCCCCCCTTTGCTATCCCTTCCTTTCGCCCAGCCCAAACCTTGGCGGAGCGCCAGAGTCAGAAGAACGGGCAAGCCGTCGGACTCTGGCCGACTAGACGAAAGAGTGGCCTTTCGCCGGAGTGACCTTTTGGTGCGGGCCCAGTGGGGTCCCCCGATCGCCGAACGCGAGGCGGCAGCAGTGTCTTGCGCGCTTGTGCTCGGCCCCCCCCGCGGACCCCCAAAAACCGCGCACCAACTGTCACTCTTACCCAGGGCCACTCTTGCGTGTAGTCGATGTGGCATGTCATACGCATGAAGCGCCCAAGGCTCCATCCGTCGACGCTGCATGGCAGCCCACCCCGAGAGGTTTCTGAGGCTGTCGGCATCCGCGCTGCAGTCGGTCTGGGCGGCTGCCTGCAGCTTGGCGGCCACGGGACGAAGGAGAGCCTTTTCGGCCGGGGGGCGCCGTGCTGGTGACCCGCTGGTGGCGCTTCCCGGTTCGGGTGCACGTGCGTCTACTGTTTCTGGCAAGGGGCGGTGACTCAAGCAGAGAGGGGGGAACCCAGGGAAGTAAATACCCTGGACGCTGCTCTCCACTGTTTTTTGTGTCACGGATTGTGCGTAGCTGCGCCTGATGTCCCACGCCACGGTCCGTCTATGCTTCGCTGGGGTGCGGCGTGATCTCGACGCCGGCCCCCGCACCTTTTGCAAAGGAGGTCACGCGTTGCTGGAGAGTCTCGGGGGGCTGGCGGACAATACTTCTCAGGCGGCGACTGGCTGGGCAGCTGCAGAGGCCACGCGTTAGTTCCAGTCTGGAACCGGATGTAGTTTTTACTTGAAGCGTACGGCCAGGATTTTTGGCTTAGTGTGTCGCTCCGCTGGTTCTGGCCCACCACGCTTCGGTGCGACATGCTAACCACTTCTCAGTCCCCAGGCGTCAACGTCCAGAGCTTTTCCCAGCCTCCTGCCGCGCGGAGCGGAGCGACGCGCTATGAGAGCGTTTTGTTCGTTCCCGGTGGCGGGCGTTACCGGGGGGGGGAGGGGGGGGCGGGGGGCCCGTAAATGTCACGTTTCGCGCCGGCGCCGTCACGGAATGTTTAGGAGCAGCCAGAGACAATTCGGAGGTCAGCCCGAATCGGGACGTTACCTGGGGGTGGAGAGGGGGTTGGCTGGGGCCGGTAACGGCCGCGATCGAGAAAAGTAATCTGCCGGTCTCTGCCCACTCGCATGCACAGCGTGGAGCCGAGACAGGAGGCGAGGCAGAGCTCGGCACCGAGTGCAAGGCATCGCGCTGCCTCGTCGTTGAGGGCTCGCAGAGGCGGCCGCGCTTCTCCTCGGGCTTGACCTTGTAGGAGTCCAGCTTGAGCTTCTTGTCCTCGGGCTTCTTGTCTTCGAAGCTTTTGTCCTCGAGCTTGCTGGAGTCCTCCAGCTTCTTGTCCGAGAATATTTTTTATCGAAGTGCGCGTTGTCCTCGAGCTTGCTGTTGCTCTGAAGCTTCCTGTCCCCGAGCTTGCAGGAGTCCAGCCGGACTTCCTTGTCCTCGAGCTTCTTGTCGTTGAGGTTCATGTCCTCGGGCTTGCTGGTGTCTTCCTCCAGCGTGGTTGGTCGCGTCTCCTCGTGCTGCTCGACGCCGTCCTCGGTCTTCACCTCCTCGAAGTTCTCGGTCTGCGCGCCGTCGGGCGCCCGCTCGTCGCTGTCAGACTCGGCCGCCCTGGTTGCCGGAGCGGAAAAGGGGCCTGGGATGCTAGAGCCTAAATGGGTCACGGAAAGTGTCTTGTCCTCAGCGGGCTTGACCCGAATTGTGCTTGCACCGCAGAGCTTGCGCCAATTGCACCGCGTAGCTTGCGCCACCTCGGCGATGCATCGGCGGGCCTCGGCAGTGCATCTGCGACGCGGTGGGCTTGGCCTGTGCTGTTTTGGCAGCTGTTGTTTGTCCTGTTGTTGTTCGTCTTGTTGCTGTTGTGGCCTGCTGTTGCTGTTGTTTTGCTGGTTGCTGTTGCTGTTGTGGCTGCTGTTGTTTGTGCTGTTGTGTGTGTGTGTGTGTGTGTGTGTGTGAGTGTGCAGGTGTGTGTGAGAGTGTGCGTGTGTGCGTGTGTGTTTGAGTGTGTGTGTGTGTGTGTGCGTGTTTGACTCTGTGTGTGTGTGTGTGTGCGTTTGCGTGTTTGTTGTTTGTGTGTATACATATAACGGCGCACCTGGTCCGGGGGCCCGGGGCCGGGACCACGACCACAAATGTGGGGACCGGGGGCTCTGGAGGCGCCGGAGGCCCACAGAATGCCATTAGAAAGCGCCAGGAGAGCCCCAAGACGCTCCAAGAGAGACCCGAGACACCCAAAGGTCGCTCTAAGACGCCCAGCATTGCCTCCGGACGGCTTCAGAAGCCCCCAGGACGCCCCAAAAGGCGTCCAAGCCGCGCCCGAAGAGATTTCCCAAAGGCAAAAATAGCCCCGTTCCCTTCGTACAACGTATATTTTACTACATCAATTGTTTTCGCTGCCGTACAGTTCATGACGACGCCGGAGGCCCCCAAGACAGCCCCAAGCCAGCCCAAGAGGCGCCCCAGAGGGCCCCAAGACAGCCCAAGAGAGCCTCAAGACGGCCCAAGAGGCGCCCAGAACAGCCCAAGTGCGGCCCTGAGGCCCACAAAAGGCTACCAGAAAGGACTCGGGACGTTCCAAACGCGACCCGAGACGCCCAATGGTCGCACCAAGACGCCCAACATCGCCCCAGACGGCTTCAGAAGCCGCCAAGACGCCCCAAAAGGCCTTCAAGACGCGCCCGAAGAGATTTCCAAAAGGGCAAAATAGCCCCATTCCCTTCGCAAAACGTATATTTTTACTACCTCAATTGTTTTCGCTGTCGTATAGTTCTTGACCACATCAGAGGCTCCCAAGACCGCCCCAAGACAACCTAAGTGGCGCCCCAGAGGGCCCCAAGACAGCCCAAGAGAGCCCCAAGACGGCCGATGAGGCGCCTAAAACAACCCAAGTGCTCCCCTGAGGCTTACAAAAAGCTACCAGAAAGGATTTAATACGCCCAAAGGTCGCCCAAGACGCCCAACATTGCCTCCAGACGGCTTCAGAAGCCCCCAAGACGCCCCCCAAGGCCTCCAAGACGCGCTCGAAGAGATCTCCAAATTGCAAAAATAGCCCCATTCCCTTCGTAAAACGTATATTTTTACCATATCAATTGTTTCCAGTGTCGTACACTTCTTGACGACATCGAAAGCCCCCAATACTACCCCAAGACAGCCGGAGAGGCGCCCCAGAGGGCCCCAAGACGGCCCAAGAGAGCCCCAAGGCGGCCCAAGACGCGCCCAAAACAGCCCAAGTGCGCCCCTGAGGCCCACCTACTGGATTTGGCTCAGGACTCTCGTGATATCAGAGAAGGTACGAACACCGTTTTTATATTCAGCTGTCTGCGGCATGCCCCGCCACCGTGCCAGCGCAGCTCTTGTGACACCTCTTGTCTCTATTGAAGACGCCCCAAAACAGCCCAAGTGCGCCCCTGAGGCCCACCTACTGGATTTGGCTCAGGACTCTCGTGATATCAGAGAAGGTACGAACACCGTTTTTATATTCAGCTGTCTGCGGCATGCCCCGCCACCGTGCCAGCGCAGCTCTTGTGACACCTCTTGTCTCTATTGAAGACGCCTAATGCGAATCACCACCGCCCCCTTGCCTTATTGGAAACGTTTATGTGGCCAAACGTTGGGCCAAAGTTTGTCCAAGGTATTGGGCTATGTGTTCCCACAGCCG